TAGAAAGGCAAGGCTCACCAAGCCATTTATCTCTCTGACCTTCATTGAATACCATGTGTTTATCGGCCAGGTTGGCACAATTAACCTTAACTATCTCAGGTCTGTGTGATCATGAGGTGTTGATGGGAATAGGCATCAAGCATCAAAGACGCATAACAAAAAATCCTATCAATGTGAATGAGGGGGAGTGCTGAGTGGAGACCCACCTAAGGTGACCAGATTTTAACATTGGTAAAGCGGGACAAAAGCGGGACACCATTGATAAAACTCATATCCTGGCGAAACAGCCACACGGCAGCCGAAAATCGTATACCCTAGCTTGTCGTGCATTCTTTCCAAAAATCAGAACTTTTTAAAAATGCCGCAGGATGGCGGAAAAATTGTTAAAAATCGGGACTGTCCCACCAAAAGCAGGACGTCTGGTCACCTTACCCAAAGCCCATCTGTAGACAGTGGGACACCCCCTGCAGAATGGTCACAAGGAAGAGACGAGCCAGTCAGGGTGCAGTATAGCACCGATGAAACATACAACCTTCCTCTAGATCAGCAGTTCTCAACCTTCAAATGTTGTGACCCTTTAATACAGGTCCTCATGTTCAGGTGATGCCCCCCCAACCAAAAAATTATTTTGCTACTTCATAACTGTAATTTTGCTACTGTTATGAATTGAGTGACCCCTGTGAAAGGGTCGTTTGACCACTAAAGGGGTCACAACCCACAAGTTGAGAACCGCTGCTCTAGATCTTAATGCTTCCTCATCCCCCACTATGATGACCCAATTCTACCTTACAAGTCTGGCTAGACCAAAGCATATACATGGGTACAGATAAGTGCTGGAAACAGGGAATCCAGGACAGATAAAAACCCTCAGGACCAATCATGAGAATAGTGATACCAGGTGGGAAGGGGAAGGTGAGGAGAAAGGAGAAACCAATCACAATGATCTACATTTAACCCCTTCCCAGGGGGACAGACAGCAGAAAAAGTGGGTGAAGATAGATACCAGTCAGTGTAAGACATGAAAAAAATTATTTCTAAATTATCAAGGGTTTATGAGGGAGGAAGAGAGGTGAGGAGAGGGAGGGGGGGAAATGAGGAGCTGAAACCAAGGGCTCAAGTTGAAAGAAAATGTTTTGAAATGACGGTGGCAACATATGTACAAATGTGCTTGACACATGGATGCATGTATGGAATGTGATAAGAGCTGTACGAGCCCCCAATAAAATGATTAAAACAAAACAAAAAAAGCAGACATCTTTATGAAACAAAAAAATCCAAGTGTGAAACTATTGTTTCTTAACATAGCCTCTATCTAGGTCTATACACTTCTGCAAACGGTATTGGCCATCTCTCTGACCCTTCCTCAAAGAATTCTGCGCTGGAATCACCGTGCCATAGCGGCAGTTTGGGCATCCTCAGCAGACTCAGTCTTCCTCCTAAATGCTGGGTTTGGTGGACAAAAAATTCCTCAGAGCGACTTTCCTGGCCTTTCTCTCACCAGTATTGTTTTTGGTTTTCTTAAAACTCTTAATATACCCCATGATCATCCTGTGTCCTTCTGAAAAAAACAAACGCCTATCAACATCATCTCCTTTGGAGTGTCCCAGGACAAATGTCATAATCTCTGAGCTGAATTGTCTTGAATTTAACTGGCCCAAGAGATCCCCTAGGAGATTTTTATTGGACTTTCTGTTGAAGACACTGTCGCTCAGGAAACGAGGAGAAGTGTGTTACTGAGATAGCTCCTCTGCAGTCATCCACTGGTCAGGACATGTTTAAACGCATTCTGTTTGGAAGAAACTTTTAAGTGTATGAGCTAGAACCCTAGTAGCAAGACTCTGACCTACCCTCTGTGCGAGGCTGGCTGTCTAGAGAAGCAAATGCAGTGACACTCATCTCTGTACAAGAAAGAGGTTTGTAGCAAGAAGTCATCTTACATCAAGAGGGCATCCGATTCTCAGTCTAACCGAAGTCCTAGCTGGAGCCCTCTTCAAACTCACACAGCTGCAGGCCAAGGGTGCAGAAGGGTGAAGCGGGAAGCAAGAAGGTCATCAGCTGGTGGGTGCAGAAGCTTGTGGATCCAAGTTCAGTGGAAACACGACAGGGTGCCGACAGCTTTCAGGGGGGGGGAGGCAGGCACAGAGTCCCAGCAAGGAAGAAGGTAACAGGGAAGAGAGGCAGGGGGGAAGGATCCCCAGTATCACTTTTATGAAGACCACACTTCGCAGGAAGGGGAGGCAGCATCTGGCTGTGATCTGATGGACAGGTTGGACTCCAACTCTCCCTCCACAAAGGTACCGTCATCTCGGCATGAATCTATCTAACCTCCACACCCCTGGTGCGCTATTTGTTCTGTTCTGGACCAGTTCACAATGCTAACAACAATTGTAAGATTAAACTTTTGCTTCTTTCAAAATCTTTTTTAATGCTGCTTTAGAAATTTCCTTCCAGCTAGTTTCTCTCGTATAATTCCCATTATTTACCCTTTTTAGAAAAGCCAGTGGTCCTGAAACATTTAGAAACAGCTGCTTTCTCCTTGTTTGCAATGGCAAATCTTTTTCAGTAAAAGGCTCTCCTGTGTTCAACGCTGCCTCCTCTCCTTTATAGTAGCAGGTCTCAACACAGGACCCATGATGTACTTGTCATCTCTTAGCCACTCCCACTCTGAAAACGGAGCCGTCTCAGTCTGCTGAAATCCGCTACTCGCTCCACACCAAAATGAAAGACGCTACAATTCCCAGCAATACCTGCCTCTCTGGTTTTTCCAGGACCTGGCTCCCTAACCACTTCCACGGCTAGCCACTTCTTGCGGAGAACGGTGGCTAGGGAAGTGGTGAGAGGGAAGTCCAGCGAAGGAATGGAGGGAGACCACTTGGGCTGCCCCAGCAAACAGCTGCTCTAACTCCTCCCTGACGGTGCCCAGAGTCTGTCTGTGGGACCAGGTGAACAAAGGTGTGTGTACCTGGCCCACAGACAGACATTCTCCTGTCCTTAGAAAACTCCACGTTACGGTCCTTAGAACGCATCTATCTGTATAGTGTGACTCTCACAAGCCAATCAAATTGGTAAGCCAAGAGAATCTTCCTCATTAAGTACTAAGCAGGTGAAAAACAACACCCAGAGGAGGATCAGCATTTATTGCATTTATGTAACATTATTAAATGTTATTTCACACTCCGTTCAGGAAGCGCTAGGGCCTCCCTACGGAGTTGCGTGCTGTCTCCAGCACTCGCTGTCATGTACAGAGGAGGAGACAGCAGCACAGCTTTCAGCCTCCCACAAGGTCACCTGGCCTGGCAGGGGCCAAGGTGAGAGACAGCGGATCGTCTGCTCCCTGGCAAGAAGGCGCTTCCTCACTGATCACACCAACTCTCCGCACAGGTACAGCTATGACCAGTCCCAGGGCACATGAGGTGCACCTCGGGGCTCTGCTAACACATTTCTGAATGGATATATACTTCCGTGAAACAAGGAAAAAACGCTTCCATTTCAATCATCAGGGCACATCTATAACCATATCTTATTTAAGGCGCCACAATTTATGATGAATAAAACCAAATTTCCTCATGGAGTTAAGGAAATAGATTTATCTCCTCATCCCATCTCCAACCACTACCCAAAGCAGCCAGTTAAACCTGCAATTTCCATTTAACTCTATCATCTGTAAGTGACTTAATAAGAAAGAAGAAAGGGGCAGAGAAAAAGTATAAAACCCTTTTCAACTATAACATTTTAGCTACTCCACTTACCCTGAGTGCGTTAAGAAGCGCTGTGGTCACTCTGGGCTCACAGCTTAACGCACAGCCCTCAGGACAGTGCACGGAGAGATGAGATAGAGCTCACTTTTGCAAAGAACCCAAGAAAATGCTGTGGGAGACACTATTAGATAGCAATGAAATACAAGCTGTGGAAATTTTCCACACACTCGGACTCACCAACAGGTTTCAGCTATCACAAAGAATTTTTATACCAAATTTAACTACTTTGCCATATCAATACAACCTGTCCATATCTGCAGCTTTTAAAACGTTTATATCATTGCAACAATGGTGTGAGGTCGGTATCTAACTTCACAAGGAGGGAAGACGCACCATCAGTATCAGCCCCAGGCAGATTCTGATGAGTGTCAGACATGCCGACCTTTCTTCCGACACCACCCACCACCCAGCAGCTCCACCCACATAGCACTCTCTCTCTCTGCTGGGCTTGATTACCCACTGCAAAGACACACAGAACTCACAGACGAGATTCCAAGGTTTATTAGGGAAGTCACAGCCTTTTCTCAGCCACAGGCACATCTCTCTCTCTCTCTAGCTCTCAGCCAGGTGACCCCTTGGTCTCTGCCCTGCTCAGCAAAGTACTACAAAGCTCCTTTGGCTCTATGAAATGCCCTGATGGCACTTCACCCTGCCTTTTAAGCCTCAGCCCAAACATGCTCAGCTCTAGCTCTAGCTCCGTGGGTCGGCCAACCTAGCTCTCCAAGCAGTCTGCTGCCCCTGCTTCTTGTCATCTCTGTCTTCCAGTGTCACACTTCTGCCTCCTGAGTTAAAAGAAGGCTCTCACAGGGAACTTGGGGTCCAAAAGACACACTTCACTACTGGTTTTCTTTCTACTTCTGAAATGGTTCATTTAAACCAGGAGGGCTGGCAAAACGAGGCCAATCCCTACTTCAGTCTCATACCCCTTATTCCCATGGTCTCACCCTACCAGAATGACAGCTCCCTTGCTTACATTATTAGCAAGCTATCTAACCCCTCTCTCCCCGCAGTTGGGCCACAACCACCTTTCCGCAGAGTCCTTAGCTGTCGTTTGCTGTCGTTTGTGCGAGTTACAAAGATGTGGGCTCAAAGGGCTCTAACAAGAAACTGCCCTGCAGTACTATCAGTGCACTACAGTTGTAGAATACTTACATGAAGCAATACTGCCACCTAGAGGATGACAGAAAAACACCTGGCCTACTTTAATGGAATCAATACCAAAGTAAGTAATTAAAACTACAATGAATTTAAAATAAGTTTATTCTGTCCTTATGCCCCTCACCGCCCCCCCAAAGAAAGTAACCAAAAAAAATTGGGTACTGCTCCCATTCAAGGAATTGGTAAATATCATACAGTACAAAACAATTTTGGAAATCATGTGTAAATGTTACTCTGAACTTCATTTGTTGTCATCAGTTTCCTCAGCATCTCTGTGCTCGGGGGAATATTCTGGAGAAGAAAAAAAAAAGTTGCTATCAAATCAGTGGGAGCAATAATTCAGTTACAAGCGATTTATATAGTCCAACCCCCAAAGAATGGCCCGAAATGGTACAGACACCCACTGCCTTTCATCTCTTTAAAACAAAACAAGCCTCTCTAAGCTATCGTGCAGCTTAGTGTGGTCTTTGTGAGCTTCCGCGGGTGGCGTGCCGTGGCCACGGCCAGACAGCAGCCCAGCAGCCTCATCTCCAGACACTGGCAGACCAGATCCCGGATTCGGCTGGGCTCTATGAGCAAGTGAACAGACAGATGGAGGCCTGCACCATGGGCTTGGAGGCGCGTTAAGAACCCTGTTTTAGATGATGCTTCTCTTTCTTTTTGGATGTGTGTGTTCTCTTGGTTGGTTGGCTTACGCCTGTTACTGAGGCAGCTGGTATTACAGGGTTGTGATTTTGTCATATTACTACCACCAAAGTAAACCTGAGACGTGCAAACCCCATGGACGAGCAGATGGAGTCTGGGCTCCTACTGAACTCCTGCCCCAATTCAAGAACAGTTGGTTCTGATAACAGGTCCCTGCTCGCTCGCTACTCACCTTCATGAAAGGATCACTGAGACAGGTGTGCTACAGCATGAAGAAAGCAGATGGTGCCCAGCTATCAATCGGAACAGTGTCTGGGGTCTTAACGGCTTGCATTCAAACAAGCAACCCTCCATCTAAACAAGACATCAGCTAAGTTCATACGAAAGAAGCACACCAGCTTGTGTGATCCAAAGACGGCAATTACAAAATTTGAATATGGAGAAGGGAAAAGTATCCGAGCTAAAATTATGAACACCCAATTGGTAAAAAGCTAGGGAGGACAGTGGGAGCCCCAAACCCATTTGCAGAGTATCTAGTCAGACCGAGCTGCTTGGCGGATCCACTCGAGTCACAGGCAAGAGTCTCGAACAGCCTCAGTATCAGGAAGAGACCATTGTAATCTTGAATATGTTGAATCAAACTGGCTATTTGGCCAGATGATCTCTCTATAGACCCAACCTGAACTGATTCTGAGTGCAAGTACCTCTGACTTGTTCCAGGACAGAAATTTCTTCCCTGGCTTTTTGAATGTTGATGGGGTCTTTTCCGTCTTACTCATTTGCATTTTTGTCTTTATGTTATTATTATGTTATCCTTACCACCTTATTTCAATTTCATTTTTTTATTGTTTCTGTTTGGTGTCCCAGTTTGTGATGCATAGGAGTGGATGCATAGTGCTAATAACTGATGCAGGGGATGCAGGGATGGGGAGTGGGTGATAGGGAGGGAAAGGGGACTTCAGGAATAAAAGATGAAGGGGGGAGGAGGGAGGGAGCACTAGAATTGACTGGTTGGACAACTCACTTTAAAGTCGATTTAATGGGGGTGCTTCTAAAATTGATATGGTAATCATTGCACAATCTCTGATATTATTGAACTACTGAATTATATGGTATGTAAATTATGTGCCAATATAACTGTTATTAAAAAAATTTTTTTTTTAAGTTACTATCTCAGAAACTCAGGAGTAGAGTTCTACCCTGTTCCTAAAGGGTCACGATTAGTCGGAATTGGCTTGATGCCAGCTAGTTTGATTGGTTTTCTTGTACCTAGTGTTCAGGTTGAGCTCTCTCATCCCAAACACCTGGCTTATCATCCTTGGCATACCACCTCCTGGCTGTTGTGCATGCTCGCCTCCAGGGCCCCACAGACGTGGGCCATCTAGCACCATGGTGTCCATAGAGTGGATGCTTAAGGTGGTTCTACTGTGCTGACCACATTCCACTTTAAAACTGAAAGAAGCTATGAACTAACTAAGCTCTGCAACAAAGGACGCAAACACAGGACCACTGTGACGGCGCTAATGAGTCAGCACCGGACACCAGCATACACTGCCTCGGGGACATCAGGAAAAACGACACCCTGCAAAACCAGTCCATCATAGCCAACCAATCATCGCGTTCAAAGCCAGAAACGAAAAGGTGGCTTTGTGTTGTTGTTTAACTAAGTTCCTCAAATCTTCCTTTCAAAGACTACTTTAGAGCTGAACTTTTACTGCTAAGCCCTCATGGTATGATGCAAACCTCTGGACACTGAAGAGGGTAATGACTGGTCAAGAGGATCAACATGCACTGGACATGTGAAGAATTTTGAAATGACAAGTGTTTGTTACTTATACATTCACAACTAAATTTTCTTTTAAACCCTACACAGGAAGAATGACTCACAATGCTCAGAGCCAGTCTACGCATTTATGAGGCGCCTGTGTGCTAAGCACAGGTAGCATCAAGGGCTGGGAAGATAACACAGAACAAGTTCCCTGGTCCCTGTCCTCAGAGAACTTCTTTCTAAACGACAGGAGCGTATCATTTAACTATCTAAGCAAATGAAATTATTAGTTAATATACACTTCAAATGGGATGATAAATGTAAAAGAAGTGCTTATCAGAAAAAATTAACCATGATTCTAGCTTTGAATGTGGAAGCTACGTTTGAGGTATGTGAGATTCTAGAATCTTACAGCCTTAAATGTTACTATGCATTAATTCAACGAACAGTTCTTGAAAGCTTTCTTCTACGTGCCAGATATGTGTCCAGCTGGGGACACCAATGAACAGTAATAATTTCAAGCATAGTTCATTGCCACAAAGCATTAACAATCTGATAAGGAAACTAACTTTGAAACATGTGAAATTAGCTATCTCTAAAATAACTTAGTAGAACAGTCTTCTTACCACGACGACAAACCAGAGTAAAACAGGGATGTAACTATGTTGTAATAATCTCTTTCCTTTAAGGAAGAAGCTCTTAAATTGGAGGTCCAGAGACTTTCAATCTCTCAGGGAAAGAAGTGTCATCTTTAAATTAGCTGAAATTACAGGCAAGATTTTGTGTGTATGTTCCTTTATGTATTTTTACGGAGAAAGTTGACAGGGCGGGGTATAGTTGTGTTACGTAATTCTTCCATCTTTACGTATCCAGTTCCATGCAAAAGTAGGTGAATAAATGTTACAATAATTCGATCCATACAGGGCCCAAATACTCCTTTCGCAAAAAATGACAACATTCCAAATTAATTTGTTAAAAAACGTCTGAAACAGTCAAACCATCTTCCTAGGGAGACGTCTGGAATTTAATTTCAGTGCATTAAACTATCACACACTAACGAAACAGTCAGCAAGTTTTAGATGTCTATGAAGAAGAGGGACAAGCTAATTCAAACTAGGATGTCTTACTCTGAGGGTTCCTAAGTGCTGCTTATGTCTCCAATTGATATCACACATTTGTGTTTGTTATTAACCTCATTTTACTAACACGGCTGTTTGTTCAGATTTAAAAGCTTACCTTTGCCAAACCTTTCAGGCTCCTGGAAGAAAGTACAGGCTTAAACGCCTCTACTGTCACAGGGTCTAGTTTCATGACATCAGTGTAGCACAGGTACAGGACTGCAGGGATTCGCCACACTTGACAGTAGCTCAGAACTGGGAAGATACAAGAAGAAAGCACTCATGTTCCTTAGGACATGAGGCTCAGGTGAATTTAAATAATAAAGACTGACTGAAAAATAGCCAGTTGTCTGTGGTTTCTTGTAATGAAGGCATTCACTGTCATTCTGAACTAATCTAGAATACAGATTTTCTTTCAAAGTCAACTTTTCTCCTACATGATCGCTTGCTTGAATAAATATTATAATTACTGTCATTTCCTGACATAATGATGAGAAGTACATTCCAAGCAGCTGAAATATGATTTTTTTAACTAAAATAAATTACAGGCAACAATAAATACATAATGTATGATGTAAAACATTTAGCCATAAGCGTTCTTGTTAACATTTAAAGGGGAAAAAAAACCTTTTGAAGACAATGATTACCAAACAATAATAAATTATATAATGTATTAACTACTGAAAAATGGACATCTATTTCTGGCATGATGCTAGAACACCATAAATAACACCATTAAACAGTAAAATATTAAAGCAACTACCAAGATTCAAATCTGAAGCCTATTTTGATAATTATAATAATAACTAAACTCAATGTCATCGAAGTCAACTCTGATTCACAGTGACCCTACAGGGCAGGGTAGAACTGCCCCATGGGCTTCAAAGGCTGTACATCTTTCAGGAGGAGAAAACCTCATGTTGGGAGTGGCTGGTGGTTTTGAACTGCTGACCTTGGGGTTAGTAGCCCAACATGTAAACCAGTATGCCAGCAGGGTCTCCTTTTTTGATAACTAAAAGTTACTTTACCCATTCTTCATTCACCAACAATTTATGTCTAGCGCTGGCTTGTATCTTTGTATTTTGAGAGACCAAAAGAATCAGAGCAACTCAGAAACATAAAAGTTAAGAAATCTGAGCAGCTTCCATAAGATACCTTTGTAAAGTTTTCAAACTAAACCAAATACAATGTACCAGTAACTACAGATACTGAGGCTTGTGGGCAATATACGGTACAATGGTTATCAATCACAATCATTAACGAACAATCATCAACATTATAGCTGGAATTCTAAGTACCAACCAAGCAATCGTAAGACAGCATGTTACCATAAGTGAAAGTTATGTTAGGGCTACCTGCTGCCGGGAGATCATGTACAATATTCGGCTGTTCTAGCAGTGGACAACACACAGACTCCTTGAAATTCTGTGTTTTCAGGGCTCTCAGGAAAGGAGCTGGCAGGCTGCATGTAGATTCTGAAGTCTTATAGTCAGTGATATGGCGACTTGTGAGAACTGTCACCTGCATGTTCTTCTTTGGACAAGAGCCAAAAACCTAAAACAAAATTGATCTCAAATTAAAAACAAAACATATGCTTTCCTTATAGAACGTGTGTGCGCGCGCGCACGTGCGCAAACACACACACACCCACACACACACCTCGGTAACTTATCCAATAGGAAGGATGAGCACTTTACTACTGTCACTTCCTAGGCACACGGTCTTCTCCACGTCACCTTCCTCTTCTGCAAGCTGAAGCCAGCCCTACCAACTAAACTACTAAGGCTGTGACCTGGATGAGACAAAAGCACAAGCAGCTCACGGAGCAGCAACTGCAAGACAGGGAACTCGACTCTGAAGTTCACTCCCTCCTCCACCCACCACCCAGGCCTGAAAAGTTTCGTTACTGTTATTATTTCAAAGTCTCTCTGATCCTAAGCAAAGGAGACCTGGTGGCATCATGGTTACGAGTTGGCTGCTAACTCTAAGTTCTGCAGTTCATAACCATCAGTCACTCCTTGGGAAAAAGAGGGGGCTTTCTACTCACGTCCAGAGTTAAGACTCTTGGAAACGCGCACGGGCAGTTCTACTGTCCTGTGGGGTCACTGTGAGTCGGCATCACCTTAGTGGCAGTGAGATTGGGTTTGATGATCACTGCAAGTCCCCACGTCCATCATCCCTCCAACCCCCAAGTCCTCATCTGTGATTTGAAGAGTTTGGATTAGATGGATTCCCAAGGGCCCTTCCAGGTTTTAAAATCTATGGTCATAAAAATAAAGCTGCTATTTTTCAAGAAAAATTAGACTGTGGCTCACTGTACATTGTCTAAAAATATTTTAAGAAAAGGGCTATTTTCAACATAAAGTTTTCTAGCATGTACCAAAAATGATCTGTGAGGCTAATTTCACTGCTAATAGACACTAAAAGTTAATACTATGTGCATTTGCTTGAACTGTAGAATTGTATGATATGTGAATTATATGCCAATAAACTGTTGGAAAATAAATAAAATAAAATCTGAATGATAAGATTTAAAATATTTTAAAATAATACATGCATTTCCTACCTGGTATTTCCTATTAAGAGAGAGACCATTACTCACAAGGCCACATTTAGGGCTCTCCGTTACCATTTAGTCTCCTCCCTAGGTTACAGACACAACCAAGACTCACACTCTGCCAGCGGGCCCACCCTGGCTCAGTGACCCTATAGAGCAGAGACATGCATGCACACACAAGGTCTCAAACCTTAAGATATGCTGCGTTTAAAAACGAAATGCAGCTGCCAAAATTATGAGTCTTTCCTAAATTATGAGTCAGGTGACATGGTTTACTCCAACATTTGTTTCATTGAGCACTAAGTATGTGGACTACAGTGAAGACTCAATCGAATGCCGTCTACTGATGAGAAAAATGGCTGTATGCTAATGCAAGCCCGGGGCGTTAGGGAGACGGGCAGCTGCACACGCGGCCCCCTGGAAGACAGCTGTCCTCAGCCTCACTTCTCTGCCCTGGGCCACCTGCAGGCCCTCCATCCATGCTGCAGTGTCCCACCCTCGGTAGGGCCTGCTGTTTCACCTGGGCACTCTGTTTATATTTCCGACAGAATAACAAGCTGCAGTAAGGAAAGGACAGCCATGTTTTATAATTCTCCATCCTGCAGCCCTTCGCGCATAGCTGACTATGTCCGTGGAATTAATCGTGCGGAATAAACTGTTCTTTCTGTCTATTCTATAGCAAACTCCTCCAATATTTTTGAAAAGGAACAAATACTTGCTTGTGCTCCCTGATATCTGATTGCAAGGGTTTAAATGGGGAGGATCATGAATGCATAAAAAACCGCAGCTCGGGGATCAATTCCCGCCCCCCACCCCCACACAAGCACACAGCTCTCCATCTCCCCCTTACCTTTTCCAGCCACTGAAATTGCTGGTCTTCGGCGACATAGCAACTGCACTGGCAAAGAAAAACCTGAAAAATAAAACTCAGTTTTGTACCACGCCAAATAAAGAGTACATGTCCCCCAACCACACTTTCAAATACTCTTGGATGCTACCATTTCCAGTGCCAGCGAGGGTGGGTAAACCCCTGAAACGGCCCAGAGACAATTTTTAAATCGTAAACCAAAAATATCCCCTGAAATGGAACGATAGTTAAATTTAACTACGAATAAAAATAAAAACAAAAGTGTGCCTGCGCATTCTGCTCTTGTAAGAAACATCTATATGGAAGCAAATCAGGAACAGCAGCCTGAAGAGCAGGCAAGCACTTGGTGGCGCAGAATTTATATTCCAGGAGAGGAACAAGTCAGAAAAGAAGGGGGGAAATGTGCACAGCTCAAAGAATGCAAGCAATTACAAAGAATTGTACAAGCAGGGATCGTTGGATTGGTGCATGTTTTGCAACGCCCAGTCTCAAAACTAAAATCTAAAGAAATAAAGTGTATGACCACCTCAAACTTGGACCACATAATGTGAATCTTAATCTAACACTTAGCACCTGTTTTCCTACATCTGCTTCTGGCCTATTTATTTCTCCTTAAAAATTAAAAATCGGGCCACTACCGGCGATTACTATCAAACAACACAGTGCACACTGAGCAGAAGGCCAAGGCAGCTGTCACATGACAGCTTCTGTCACCAGGACAGAAGCAAACGTACAGCCAAGAAATACCACCAGGACCCTTCTTTACAGAACAGGCTGACAGGACCAGTCGTACTGCCGCCTGCGGGCCACACCGTGAAGACAAATTCAGCATTACCAACATACAGGTGTGACTAAAATTTTAGTGATGATTGTACAACTCTTTTAAAGATTAAGCCACTGAGTTGTATGATATATGAATTATATGTCAATAAAAACACTTTAAAGATTCTTTTAATTATATGAGACTCTTGGGAAATGGAAAAAGCAAAAGTAAAAATTAAGTGTGCATCACCTCCTAACACAGTGCTGGTGCCAGGAGGGCTTGAACAGAGGCCCAACGTTTGTCAAATACCTCAATATATTCCCATATAAATACATGTACCTACACTAATACCTCTATTTTTATGAATTAATGTATTTACATATGTACAATATGTTCATACCTCTATCCATAGCTTTGCTTCCTAGGTCTTTCCTCTGTTTCCTTTTACTTTCCTCTTGCCCCACCATCACACTCGCTGAGGGAAGGTTTTAAATAGCTAATGTTCACAGCCTAGTTGCAACAAAATTATTTCAAAGGAACCTTAACACCATATATTGCAGATTATTATTTATATAAACAAAAAGGAGTGACCTCCCAGGTCCTTCGGTTACACAAATGACCAGTGATGGACAACTAACCAAAACGGCGATGGGCAGTTCGAATCAGGAGCAGTGTGGAAGAAAAGTCTTGCAACCTGCCTCCTTTAACATTACAGCTCGGAAACCCCAGGGAGACAGGTCCACCCTAAACCATGTGGTTGCCATGAGCAGGCATCAACTCACCGGCAACGGGTTTGGTTTCTGGTTACAAACAAAATGCCTCAGCCCACAGGTAAGAAATAAATGAGTGGAGCATTCAAACAAGCAATTTCATAGATTGAATTGAATCCCCAAAATGTGAGTTGAATTCCTGGCCTTTCTATCCATGTGATCCAGTTTGAAAATAGGGGTTTTCTTTAGTAATGTTAATGAGAGGTCCCATCAGTGTCCTATCCCTAATCACTCATGAGTTATAAAGAGTCGATGAGACACAGACACAGGTACACAGGGGGCTGACAGAAGCCTCCTGAGGATGATCTACAAGCCAAGGAAGCAGGGAAGCCCTAGGGAACTACAGGCAAGGAAGGAAATGACTAACGCAAGTCCAGAGCCTTGACTTGGACTTTAGCCTCCAGCATGGTGACAAAATAAATTTCTTTTCCGTACAATCCTTGCATTTGCGCTTTTTGCATTACAGCAGCATCAGAAACTAAGACAATGGTACATAAACGATGCTTCCAAACAGCTCTTTGAACACTCCAGTCAAATTCAACCTACCGAAGGACTCGATTTTAGATGATAAAACACACAGTAAGCCTCTGCGGGGGACAGACTGATCGTGTCTGTGGTTCTGCACCACTCATTCCACAGTTTAGCACAACCAACTTCTTCCCAGATGCCCGAGTTCATAACAAATGACGACAAAAATGCTGTGAAAACAATGCGCATGAATTAGTGCTTCGTTAAGCAAGTTGCCTTTTCTTTTTCCTCAATTAAAAGAATGAGTTCAGAATACGCTAAGCTTCTAGAGCTAAAAGGGCCATTCAAAAGCATCTACCTAAACTGAGGTCCTCAAGATGTGAAAGGTCACAGCCCAAGTAAAGGCACTGGTAGAGCCAGAGCGGATTGACAGCCCTTTACCCTACTCTCAGAGTGCAACCCCCCCTGCTGGAGAATCTGAGAACTTTATCTGAATGAGTCAATATTCCCGCCCCTCACATAGCAAGCAGCCTGGTGAGATTCCAAAGACCCGCTTTTCATGTGCAAGCAGGAGGACCACATGGGCAGCGTGCGCTTGAGCTGTGTGGGGCCATTTATACGGGGTTTCGGTTTTGGTGGTTTCCCTATTGCAAGCATCCACCTCCAATTTCCTGGGACAAACTGTGCAGGCAGAGATGATTACCATCACAGGGCATTTTAAGCCCAAACTCCCAACAGTTCTTGAATTGTAAGCAAATTTTCAATTTCACAGGTCAACACCCCTAACCCCCATGCTGTTCAGAAGTCCTGTCTATCATTACACCCCTGCCAAATCACATCATTACCTAACTGCCAAATTATAACAACACGATTGCCAAACCTCTGAGATTAATGGCCCAGGCAAGTGGACACAAAACCTTAACTATCAGACACAACTCTTGCCTCAAACCCTGGTGTCTGTGACTACCAGATGCATGTTTACAGGTTTTTCTTGTTTGGTTTTGAAATAGTGGTTGTCACACAAAATATCAGGTAGCAAGATAGTCCATTTGTAAAGAACTAGTGTGGTCATTTACCAACTAATTTTCAGGGTCTGGAGTCCCTGTGTGACATAAACATGCGAAGCGGTTGGCTGCTTCAAAAAACTAGTGATTCAAGTCCAGCCATAGCTATATCAGAAAAAAGGCCTGGCATTCTGCTTCCAAAAAATCAGTGATTAAAAACTCTGCAGAGTGTAGTTCTACTGTGATAGCGTCACCAAGAGCCACAATCAACTCGATGGTTTACTGTGTTGTGTTTGTTGTTGTTTACTATGTTCTAAGAGTAGCCAGGATACCCTACGGGGCAAGGGATTTTTAGTGGACTCCCAAATGACCTCCTCAGAGGCAGTAAATCCCTGAAATGATACAAGTTTGTACATAACAAATACACACACTATTCCAACTGAAGTCTACAATGTTCTACCTTTAACCCATCGAGGAAATTAACGTGTGTAAAGATCTTAGAATTTAATACTCAGAAATGTTCTAGCCATTATTGTTGTTGTTAGTTAGTTTTAGAGTTACCATTATGTTCTCAACAGAGCCTGTTAACTGAGCCATTGCTACCATGGGGTCAAATATTTTCCTCTGCTATTCCACATCTGGCCACCACAGGAGAGGGTGTAAGGAACCCTGGGTATATCAGTGCACTAGTTCCTTGAATGTGTAAGTTCCTGACGCCAGGAAAATTCTCTTTAAATCTTATTTTTCACACATGTAAAAGATGGTACCACATAAGCAATAAGCTCAGGGGACAGATTTCACTCTGAAGAAAAGTTACATAACCACGGCTTTAAAAATAAAAAAAACCTAACAAATATTTGCAATCTTTCAAGATAATAAGAAAATAAAATAATAATAAAACATTTTAAGTTGCTTCAAAGTAAAAGCAACTAATAAACAGTTAATAAAATAAGCAACTTCAGATTATGTGCTCACAACAAAATGTCTGCACATTTTTACTTACCTACTGCATTATTTCCTATAGCAATTATAAACTTAGAACAAGGATACTTTTCCAGCAGGGCACATTCCAAGTAGGTTTTTGTCTGTCTTCGAAGAAGCCGGACTTCCCTAATGGAGAGAAGAGAAAACAACCTCATTGCCAAGGAGTGGATGCCGGCTCAAAGGGACAACAGTCCCATGGGTTTGGGAGGCTGTAACTGCTCACAGGGTAGAAAACCCTGTCTTGCTGCTGCGGAACAGCTGCTGATTTCAAACTACTGCTGACCTTTCTGTTGCTGCCCACAGTGTAACCACTATGTCACCAGGGGACTGCAAATGCTACCCTTAATCTTACATTAGGGGCTACATAGTACAATAGCTACTAATGCCAAGGGGAAGGGTGGTGGTGAGGCACTGGGTAAATCTGCGCCCACCCCCGGCCCTCTTCTGAGAAGGGGCAGTAGGCCAAATTAAGTTTGGGAACTTATGCTCTAGAGCAGCGGTTCTGAACCTGTAGGGCGTGACCCCCTTGGGGATCAAAGGACCCTTTCACGGGGATCGCCAGTTTCATAACAGTAGCAAAATGACAGTTATGAACCAGCAATGAAAATAATGTTACGGTTGGGGGTCACCACGCATGAGGAACTGCATGAAAGGGTTTCGGCATTAGGCAGATTGAGAACCACTGCTTTGGAGGAAGGCTCTGTCTTGGTATTGGCTCTGGGAGAAGGTCCTTGTCTCTTTTCAGTTTCTATTCCCTCATTCTTTGGGGATCTTCATCTTCTCCCATTTGTACCTTATCTGCTCTTGTTATATCTCAAAGGCTTTAAACACAACTCAATCCACAGATGCAAAAACACATCTTTGATGCTTTCGTACATCAGAATTCTGAACATGAATCTGACCAAGCCTGTAGAGCAGTGGTTCTCAACCTTCCTACTGCTGTGACCCTTCAACACACAGGTCCTCATGTGGTGGCGACCCCCAGCCATAACATTATTTTCGTTGCTACTTCCTGTCATTTTGCTACTGTGATGAATCGGGCGACTCTTGTGAAAGGGTTTTTTGATCCCCAAAGGGGACGAGACCCACAGGTTGAGATCCGCTGCTCTCAAGGGTACAACCTTTTCTAAGAAATGCAGGTGGCAGATGCTGCTGCTCTTGTCCCAGACTCAAAGCCACATCCATCATACACAATGGATGGGCCTTTGTCATCTGTAGGAGGGGTAAGGGGAGGACAGATTTTTCCTTGTGATTGCGTGAAAGAACGCATTGCTTTTCCATGCAACAATTCTTACTCCCTTTTGTTTTGTGACACCAACTGCAGTCCCAAGGGAACAGCACCTTGCCTACTTCCTACTAGTGTCCCTCCATTCTTCTTCCCTAGTCCCCTCTGCCTTCTGAGCTTCACTGCTGGGTCAATGCTGCCCTTGTGACCTAGCATGGTTGATTCTTCTAGTGTAAATACCTCCCTAGTGTCCACAGTATTTTTAAAAATAATAAAAACTTTTTTTCATTGTTATTTCCATTCATGTTTTTACTTTCTTCAGCTTCTAATCTTTATATCGGATTTAGAGTCAGTGGTGGGAGAGCACCTGCAGGTCTAAATTGGGGTGGGAGGCTTCGGTCCCACTGGGCCTCACTTGACCGATCCCCAACCACCTTGCTGTGAATGGCCTAACTCACACAATCATGTAGCTTCACCTACTGCTTGGGAAGCACAAAAACGTCGAAGACGCTTGCTTTGGAAATGTCTCGGATAGCTTCGGCCTCCGCTATGTTGCGTATTACAAACTTCTTAATGACCTTGTCTTTGGGCATGCAGCGGGCACAGTTCATGCAGCAAATAAGCATACGGTCAGGGCCTTTCTAGGCACGGCCATTGTTACACCTCTTCTTTGTCATCTTGGAAGCGAGGACTGGAGGCATAGCATCTTTATTGGCTGTTTTTCAAAAGCAGACCCACCAGGCCTTTCATTCCCCACCTGTTCAAGATGACGGCATTGGTAGTTCTCAATTTCTCATTTCAAGACCAGAGGTCAACTCCCAGCCATCTACATCTGTCCATGGGGGGTGATAAGCTGCTATGATGCTCACCCAGGCTCAGTGGAGCTTCCTGTCTATGATGAGCTAGAAAGAAAGGATCGGCGATCCACTTCTGAAGATCGATGAAAACCCTATGGATCACAACAGTGTGCTCTGTCACCACTCAAGGGGATACGGGGCCAAGCCGATGATGGCTGTACATGTAAAATGGTACCATAATCAGACAAACCCCAAAGTGTGGGAGGTGCTACATGCAGGATAAACTGTCTCTCAACAGGGCTACCAAAAGGTTGGGGAGGGGGGTAAACCATAAATGCAAAGTGGTTCAGGAGACAAATCACCTAAAAGTCATGTTTCTACCTTGTTTGAATTAAGATTCCCACAAACCTACTGGAACAATGTTTGAGACAAGTGGACAAATATGGCCAAGCTGATAAAAAAAATTACTGTTAATTTTATTTAAAGTGATAAGAGCATAAGTACATATATGTTTGCTCATTTGCAATGCGTTTGAAAACTGTAGGGGTGAAGATATCTGGGAGTCACTTAGGGATAAGGAAAATCAAACAAGAATGGTAAAATCTTGATAGCTGTTGAATTATAGCATTTTTATGGCAGGTGTAATCTTACTACTCTCTCCAAGTTTTGGAGCCCTGGTGGCTTAATGGTTACACCTTAGGTTGCAATCCACAAGGTCAACAGTTTGAAACTACCAGCAGCTCTACGGAAGAAGGGGCTTCCAACCTGTCAAGTTAAGTTTCAGAAACCTACAGGGGCAGTTCTACCCTGTCCTATAGTGTCACGTAAGTCGGCATCGACTCGATGTTGGAAATAATTTTTTTTTTAAGCATGGTGTCCTGGCTACTGACACATGCTAACTGAAGTGTGAGTTGGAGGAATAAAGCGGTTCTAGGAGACCTGAGGCAATGTTTACAAACCAAATATACTGACCAAGGCGGAGCACGATTTTAACAAAGTAGAAAGATCACTTTACAAGTCCGCAAAAACCAAGCCTAAATACGAGCTAAAGGAGAGGCTGGAGGCAGTTAAAAGACCCTACGCGAAAGCCAACTCCCTCAGCCGGTTTCACTTTCACGATTCATTTGCAGTATTAGCTGATCTATGTGAGCATCAGCAAACCCTAGGGCCTGCCTGGCTGCCCTCCTTGCTTGGCCGGGTCCCTGGGTGCCCTGGTGCATCGGCTGACGTACCCCGGTCAGCGGGGTTGCTGGGACAGAGGCCACCTGGGATGCAAACTCGTCCCGGGCCCGCAGGCAGCGGACCACCTACAGGGACCCGCGGCCTGCGGCTCCCCGGGCTGGGAGCCTCACCTCTTCCGCCCCAGCTGCCGCCGGACTTCTTGGTCCTCGGGTGTCTCTCTCCTGGACTCCTCCTCCTCCTCCTCCTCCTCTGTTCCAGCGCGGCACCGCGTCTTCACTACCTCGCCGAAAAACGTGGCAGCCATAACACGTTACTACCTCCACAGCTCAACTGCGGGGCCGCGAGACTGCGCACGCGCCCATGAGCCCCGCCCCAACCCCATCCCTGCGCCCAACTCGTCCTCCGGTCAGGCCCTTGAGCCCCGCCCCGTATCTACTCCACCCTCAGTCACTGAGCCCACGTTCCCGCGTGGTCTCCGTCCCTCATCCCCGCCCCGCACGGACGCGGCCTCTGGGCCCCGCCCCTCCTCGGAGCCATCTCCTCCTGAGCCCCGCCCCGCGCCCCGCCCGGCTCCTCTTGTCCCCGCCCACTCCTCGAGTACCCGGCTCCTTTAATGCCCACCCTCGCGCGCCGCTCCCTAAGCACCTCGGAGTCTGGTCCCGCCCCAGCGCGCCTGCGCTCTGCCTCCGGGAGGACCGAGATAGCAAAGACGGAGGGGTAGAGGGGCCGGAAGCGAGCCGAAGTGGGGCGGGGCTCCGTCCGTACAGGTAGCCGGTGGGCAGAGTGGTTTAGCTACACCAGTCAGCACCGCGTTTTATCTTTTCTGGTGACAATGACGGGGAGAACTGTGGCTTTATTAGACACCTGGCTCCGGACCTCTGGCCCGCGCACTCCGGGAAAGCTCGGCGAGTTTCCTAGGATCCCCGGGAGGGAACTTGGGCGCTTTGAGCCCTTCAGATCCTGCCCGCAGCTGTGGATGTGGCCAAGATACAGCAAAGCACAGTGGTTCATCTGTAGAAATGAAACTTTACACTGGCAATGGGAATTCACATTTCAAAAGCTCACATTTGTCAAACTAATCTAAGAGATTTCCTAAATCCGTGAATGTAAAAATAATCGATGTTTTTTTTCTTTTAAAAGTTGTACTTTTGTTAAGGCTTCCGTTAGTAGTGATTCCAATGTTCTGGAAGACAAAATACACGGAGCACTAATCCAATCAGAACGGGGGGGGTGGGGGGCGAGAGAGACTAGTGTCCCACAATTTGCCTGAAAAATTTTCAGGGTTGCAGTAAATCATTTTCCTAGATTTAGTTGTACCGAAAATAGACGACATTGCTTGCATTTGGAGACCTGCCACAAAGTACGTACTATTTGAGGAAGAAAGGGAGCCTCCTTTTCTTAAATAAGGGGGTGGGTGGGAATCTCAGTAAATTGCTACAAGCATTGTTTTCTAAAAGTACGTAGCCTGGGATATCTACAAAACACTAAAAAAGTAAAATCGTGCTCATAAAAGCGGTATTTTGCCATTTAAAAAAATTGGAGAATGTTGAAGCAAATTTAAACAAATAAAAGCACGCAGTTTCTTAGCAGTAAGAAAACACAATCCAGGACAGATGACTCCTTCAGGACCAGTGGCTAGTGGCGGGGCCTGGAAGGTGGAGGGAATGTGGGGTAGAAAGGGAGAACCGATTACAAGAATCTACGTATAGCCTCGCTGAGGGATGGACAGGAGAGAAAGGGGGGGAAAGAGTCGTCAGACAGTGTTATGAACATATGACAATAATTTGTGAATTATGAAGGGTTCATGAGGGAGGGGAGAGTGGGGAGTGGGGGAGAAATGAGCAGCCAATATTAAGGGCTCAGGTGGAAGGCAAGTGTTTTGAGAATGATGGCAACAAATGTATATATGTGCTTGACACAAAGGATGTATGGATTGTGATGGGAATTGTACGAGCCCCCAATAAAATGATTTTTAAAAAAGCACTAAGGCTCTTGGTTTTATTTTATAGCAGTAAGAGCTTAAAACTAAGACTCCTGGTTTGATTTTATAGAATAAATTGCAGAATAAAAAGACCATTTGGGTACCCAATATCACGTTGTCTTAGTCTTTTTATTAACTTGTTTTGTACCCTTTTAGATCCTCACTGATTTCAAAATTACATTGCAAAGGAATATTTTCTAGAAAGCTGATTAAAAGTATTGTAAGTAGGGTGATGTTAATACATTGGTCACGATTTAAGTTTCTCAAATTTCAGAGAACAGTTTTACAGGGTTCAATTTTAAATGCTTATTTCATGCAATAATAAAAGCCACTTTAAAAATTTTTAAATGCATGTTCAAATTAAATACTAAACTAGAAAGGGATTCAATTATGAAAGGAAATCCACAGAAACTTAATCCCACCAGAATTAAAAATTCAAAGTTCAAATTTTCATTCCACTGAAAATTGTTTTAAAATTTTGCATAAAAGTGTTAACTGAGACTTAAGCTACTTTTATTGTATGGTATATATTGAGGCAAGAATATATCCAATAGACATTTTTTATGAAATTAAGTGCAAATATGGGACTGAAAATAGGTTTTAACACTTCATTAGAGCTCAAAAATCAAACCCCATACAACTAAAATATTAGTTTATTAGGAATGCTCCCCTTTTTCACCCATACTATTGACAAGATATTGGTATCAGTATTTAAGATGAAACTGTACTGCATACAGAGCAAAGAACAGACTCTGGGTTAGAAATAGTCTGGCTTATGCATTTAAAAAAAAAAAAACATTTTTTAAAGAGACATGCAGCCACAAATTTCTCAAGTAATCAAGACACTTGGTCCATCTGCATAACCAAAAGAATATGTATTAGTCATTAATGAAAAAGGAATAGAAAATCAGGAGTTTCTATAGTTTTTCAGATTTATACATGCAAATCATATATTAATATTCACAGATATTTTAATGGAAAACAATTGCTCCTAACATTTTATTTTTCCAGTAACATATTTGTATTTTGATTTGACAGTACATTTATTTAATCTGCTCTCAATGGCAATAAATATTAACAATAAATTAAACCGCATTGTAAAGAAATTATTTGTGAATTATAATGACCAGGTCCTCAAATCCTAGCAAAATCCACAATAAAATTGCCCAGACATGCAGTCGATGGTGTTCTGATGGAATTTAATAAATTCGCTGTGTTCATAGAACGTTCTTTTAAGGTGCTACAATATACCTTTTCATAAAGGAACACAAGAGGATTTCACAGTATCATCTTAAAAATGACTGATTTTAATCTATAGTTTCTTTTTCCTAATTAAAACTAAAATCAGCCTCTTACTGAGGTACATTTTGGCATCTCTGTAAATGCTACGTGCAAGTAGAAATAAGGTAAAGAAGTTGTGATAGTCACATTCATCCCTTTCATAGAAAAATATATTCCCTGAATTAGTCCTATCAAATGGTCATCATTCAGTATGAATTTCAATGTTATACAATTGCTTATTTCTGACACTCAGAATTCAATTATCAACATCCCCAATACTGATTCCCTCAATCCCTCTAGTTTGTTTTATACTTTGGGGATGTTAATTGTAGGGACTTTTTTGCTTTACTCAAAAATTAGGCTGAGTGGCACTTGCGAATGAATTGTGCCCACAGTACTGTCCATTATTTCAGTAGTGACACCATAGTCATGGTGGTCTGGGTTTTCATATTCTAATGTAGAACTCTTAAAGCGAGCATCAGGTTGATTTGGAAATTGTTTCAGTCCTTGGAAGATTTTCCTACATATTCTGTACACTTCTCATTATTTTCTTCCTCTAAGAATCAAGAGGTTTCTTCAAGGCCCTAGCTTTCTGGAAAGGAGTAGGAATCTTACGGCAGGCCAATTGTAGTTTCTTTCCATCTCTCCAACTACAGGCTCCATAATTTTATTTCCTCCTCTGAATTCTGTTCATATCTGTTGCAAGGACTGACTGGCTGGAAGCCGTCCTCCCATTCTGGCCCTCTGAATTATGGCTTTTAGAAAATTCCTCTCAAAAGATGCAGAGATTTACTTCAGAACTAGTAGCAGAACACAACTGCCAGTTTACTGTAGCCCCGATTTCCATGTCTACATTTTCAGATACTAAAATGCTTTCCAGAATCTGAACCACCTTAAAAAAATTTTAAAGCATTTTGCTTTTAGTATCTTCTAGCTATATCACTTCAGAATTTATGCTTGTATCATCCTCTTTATAAACTTTCAGTAATTTTTTCTTAGCCACAGCAGAAGCATTTCGATGGGGCAGTTTCCTGCTACTCTTCCTAATCCAGCCATTTTCTGGTCCTGAAATAATTTCTTTTACATTACTCATTAGCTTTATTTTATTTGCAGCAACAGTAGCACATCTGCGGGGAACCTTCTCAGGTACCATATTTGCTTTCAGAGTTTCACTAGGCACTTGCACTACATCCTTCTGATTATGCATACATGTTCTCATTTTTGTATTGAGTTCTCTGTCTCTAGGAACATATTCTGAAAAATGAGTGAAAGTTCAGGTAAATGCAAAAACTTTGTAACAAGATTTTACAACTATTTACATTCCTCAATGCTCATATTCCTAAGCAATTAAATTTGAAAACTAGATACATTCCTAAAAAGTGAAAAACATACATGATAGTCACCAACACTACTACACACTTTTGATATTGATATACCCTTTCATTTCCTTATCTATCAAAAGCAGCTTTGGATTGTTATTTAATTGCCCTCCAGCTAACATTTTTCATTCTATAAAGATAAAACAGTAGCTGACTTGTGAGGATGAGGTTTAAGCATCATACAATAGCCAAGCTAAAAGCACTTTTAAAAACTGGAGTTTTGAAATAGAATGATGATTCTTCTAAGGTTTAAATTTCAAGATAAACATGTCCTTTATGCAAAAAAAGGTACAAAACATTAAGTTGCTTCCTAGTAGGGAAAAAATGGATACATTAACTTTATATAGTTGACATTTTATTCCTGGCTCATTTTCTTCCAAGTATTTTTATATAAAATACTGATTTCATTCTTATTATTCTTTACCAATTTTGAGATTAACTTATAGCCCAGTAGCTAGTTCGTGATCTAAGTTGGAAACTTAAAAACAAGCCCATACAGCTTTACAGAAGCCAGCTGCTTCATCTTTCTTCCATGGAATGGCTGGCGAATTTGAATTGCCAGCATTCTGGTTAGCATTCCAATGTTTTTCCCTAAATAAAAACTAAGTTCAAATTACTCTAAAATTTTAAAGCTGAAATGGCCATTCAAGACAACTTACCTAACATCATCTCGAAAATATGTAAACTGAGGTCAAGGTGTGAAATACCACATCCTGAGTAAAAGTGATGTTAGAGCCAGACGGAGACTTATTAACAGACATTTTACCCTATTCAAGATGCAATACCCTCTACTGAAAGTTCTGAAAACTTTATTTAAAAATGCTTGCTACCTAGACAAACCAAAAAACAAACTCGCTGCCATTGAGTCAATACCGAGTCATAGCAACCCTGTAGAACAGAGTAGAACTGCCCCGGTGATTTCAAGCTGATCATGCAGTTAGCAGCCCAAAGCATAAGCACTGCAGCACCAGGTATCCTCTCTAGACAAGCAGAGCACAAAGTACACTACAGAAAGCAGGCCTGCTTGAAAAGCTGAGGCAGTTCCAGAAAAGGCTGGCTTGAGAAAACATCCGAATTGTAGAGAGAAACCGGATTTGCCAAACATACTAAGGTGGATTTGTTTTTAAACCCATGTCTCAAAATGCAATCTAATTAGTACTCCCCTAGGCCAGAAGTGTCAGACTTTGGTAAAATTCCATCGGGTGTTTACTCTCTGATTTAGACCTTATGTAATGGCTAATCTTGCAGCAAAACTATTTAAAACTTCCTTGATGATGCCCAAGTCTTGATAGGGTAGTTCTTGTTGAACCCCACTGCCAGTTCCCAGTTCAAGCAGGAGAGCTTCTAGACCAGGGAAATAACCATTCGACATCTGTAGTACTTATATTTACTAAACACTAGAACATAAGGGCTATCAGGTTCTGTGTTTTGGGCCCTCTGTCACCAAGCCGAAGGGGCAAATAGGGGCAGGCAAAACACTCTATGGGTTGACATTAATAAACACAGGGAGATCTGCAAAGTCCTCTGCCTTCTAAATGAGAGCGCTTCATCCATCCATTAAATCGATTTCAAAGTTGTGCTTTCTCAGTAGACACAAATCTTGCCCTGAGGTCAAAAGCTACTTTTACTAAAATCAGCCCTCCCGCAGCCTGTTTGCTGTTGCATGATTCACTTTCCCACAGCAATTCTGAGCATGCTTTGCTCAATATCAATTACCTGAGTTATAAACTGCACTTCAGCTGGTTAAGCTCTCCCCATACAGCCTACCCTCTCCAACTCCTTAACTGGGACTGTGGAGACACACACTCGAAAAATCTGGGAAGAGGAAAGTGGCTTGGAATGTTCTTAACCACTTCAAATAATCCTCTTAAGAATTTATATTATAACCTGAGAAAGCCATAATGAACCTTTAAAATTGAAATATTTTCTAAAAGTGACAAAAAAGTATATAGACTGCACCCTGACACAGGTAGGCTCAGGAAACAAGGTAGTCCCGTAAATTCCAGCTCCCAGGTTTCATTGCATAACTGTCTTCACCAAACCATCCCAGATCCAAATGATCTTAAATGGATTAGGAAAATGTTACAATATGCTATAAAAATGTCAAATGAAAATTAAATATAAAGGTGTGTATGCATAGCAAAATTATGGTAAAATGTGTACTATATGGTGGCATGAAGCTATACTGTTATTACTAAAGCAACTGGATCCATTTGCAGGATGAAAATGTTACTACATGACTGGTGTTCCCAACAACATGCCAAATTAGATAGTATAGATAAAATCTTATTACAATGAACAAACTAACAAATTTGTAAGTTGTGATAGAAGACTGTAATTTTGGATGTGATTTAAGTGCCTACTGTCATGTCCAGAGTTGATTTTGACAGACCCCATGTGACAAAGCAGAACTGTTGCCACCTACGGTTTCCTAGGTGTAATCTTTGGATAGTTAAGTCTCTTTCCACAAAAGGAGTCACTGATGAGCTCCACCTGCTAAATTTTGGGTAAGCAGTCAACTAATTTCTAACTACCACACCACCTTTATAAGTATTTATACTGACAACTTTGAAACCTTTGAAAACTTTGAAAATTGACATTTTAATACATTCCTATGTGTAATCCAGAATAAGGGAAAATGCTTAAGATTGAGAATAAATTAAAATCAAGTTTAAAAAAATAAGGAAATCTGAACTTCAAATAAAGAATTATGAACAGAGAATATGGGTGTAAATTACACTGCATACAAAAGCAACCTCCAAGATGGGAAAGCTATTACCTCTGGTGTATCCCACCTTCAATGACTAATTACAGAAAAGCAAAGTCAAAAGCAAAGCAATCGGATGACAGGAGTGACTATGAAGAATTGAAAAAAGAAAAAAAACCATACATGTAAGTCAGTGATTAATTTTATTACTGAGAACTTGGTAAATTATAAAGTGCTTTATTCTCCTTGAGAAATCTACAAACAGTTTTGAGAAATATATACAGGATAATTCAGGGCTAGAGAAGTCCAATCTGTATGTTAGGGTACAAGCTTAAGAATTTGAGGGGACACTAATCTAACATTTGTAGTAGTGTCGTTTACTACTAACAAACCAGTACAGTCCCATTAAGACCTGCTGTGCTATAGTCCTTGGATCAGCCCAATGTGTCGAATAGCCACTAAGTGCTTGAGCCACTGTTGTTCTCCCAAAAAACAGTTCCCTATTTGGGTATGGAAAAACAAATCAGAATTGTAAAATTTTACATTGTAGAAGTGCTCCATTAAAGTTTACCAGATGGTCGCTTCAAATTGTATCTCCTACATCAAAATATGTATTCTAAGATGGTTTGCAATGAATAAAAATTTAGAGACAACAATTCTGATTAAAATATTAACCTCTTAATGTGTTTCTAAGTACTCAGCTCCCAATTATGGCACAATACAAAATTTTCTAAATCCAAAATAAACTTCGCATCTTTGTTAATTATAAATTTGAGAATGGAAAAATATTCAACTCAAAATGAAAATGTATTAGCCTATTTCATATACTTTTTAAGTATTAACATCTATTGTGGTGGTTGAAAAAAATCGAGACCACGTGATTGATAATCCTTTATCTTCTACTTAGAACTTCCAAGTAAGCTCTTCTCTCAAAGGTGGTTTCAGATGTCCTCTTTCTTGTCTACCCTTCAACCAAAATAATGAGATGACCAAAAGCAGAAATCATACAGCATTTGTCAATGATGTTTATCTCCCCCAAGGCAAAAGTTTTCAAAAGAATTCCTTAAACTGAAAAGTTCTCTCTCAAGATGGCTGTAAAATAAAAACTGTTGGGTTTTTAGAAGCACTTTTCTCTCCTAGGGAAACTATTAACACTCAGAATTCTTAACCTCTACAGGACGTCAATGATGAGTGTCAGATTGCCAGGAACAATTCTAAAGTCTAGAATTAGACCCTAATTTAGCCACTTTTAGGGTTGTATAGATGAACTTATCTTAAACCTTCAACATATTCAGTGAACTGTTTTGATCTACCTCATCACAATAGTTTGTTGTCATCCCCTGAGAAGAAAATCTTAAATTCTCCCAAGATTTGTGATGGCTATTACAAAAAACTTTAATCTGATAAAAGTTCTATGAATTTAAGGACCTATATTCATCTACGTATTTATTTTTAAAGAGGTAGTTCAGAGGGTTTCAAACTAAACAAGGGCAAGAGAGAGTATCAGAAATAAACGTTTTTCCACTGCTATTGGCAAGCAGCACATTTCAAACACTTCCGTGACTATCCCCTTTTCAATTCTATCTTGTGACCCACTGCATTTTCACCTGACTCAAATCTACAACTTGTAGTCCTGAAGTCCACTTGCAGGAAAATACATCACAAGAGGTAAAGGCAAAGTACTTATTTCGGACAAGTGGTAAGATGAACTGCAAGAGAAATGGACTGAATGCTTACATACCTGAAGGAATTGGCCAGCCAGGGTCTCCTTGGCTTACAGCAATTTAAAAAGTCCGTTGCTTATTCAGTTTAGGATGAAGAGGCTATACTATATTTATCATGCTTACTACTTTAGATATCAATTTTCTAATATGCTGGTGTAGTCATGAATTAACTTAGAAAGTTAAATTTGAGATCTGATATGGGGAAAAATTAACTCTTGGGATAAGATCCTGTGATACTGTTAGATTTTACAAGTGCCATGATAGTATGTGCAGTTATAGTCCAAAGACTAGAAAATACTTCAATAAATTAAAAACTAGATTCCATTAATTTTTTACCACTGATAGAAAAAGGCATTAGTTTCTGGTTGACCTTGACCAGCTAAGAGAAGTCAGGGCTGCTGCAGTCAATAGTCTATCTTAATTGATCATCTCATTTTAATTGAATCAATTAAAATGCCTTTTCTCTTTGGCAATTTATTTCTCATTTAAATTTACCTTAAACTAACTTACAAACTAGAATACGTCCAGAAAATACTGTAATATCAGTAGACTCAATGACTTGGTCTTGATATACTTGACACATAGACGTGTGGTCTACACTTACTTACATGTGACCATGTGAAGAGCGTGTACATCTGTAGAGCCCAAATGTAACCTGCCCAACATAACCAATCTCCATCAAATGCAAGGACAGTTTTATCAGGAGAGACCAAATACAAATCTTGAGACTTTTTTGGCTGCTAAATTAACATTAATAGGAGTCAGTTTGGCAGAGTAAACAATGAAATGATGGTGGGAGGAAAAGGTCTCTCTTAACTTTGAGAAAGAAATGCCCTGTTGTCCTTAGGCAACATTTATCATTTTAGGCAATTGATTTAAATTCCTCTCTTAAAATGCTAAGAGTACCCAACACAGCCCTCAGCATTACATTTTTTACTCTTCAATCCTATACACAAATTCACAATTTGAGCTACAATTAGGATTAACATTTACTGGTTTAGACTGGAAATAAATTTGGTTTGTTTTTACAATCCAAAATATTAGGAGAAGCAACAATTCTCGACACTTACACTCATAAGTAGAAAATTTCTTAAGAGTTTCTACTTTATTTTTCCCTCATATCCACAGCAGTGAAGGGTTATTTTAAATAATAACAGACGGAAAAGTTCCATTACAATAAAGACGTTTCATTGCACTCTGTCATACTAGAATAACTGAACTCTAACTTACATTCAATGTAAGAAAAAAATAAGCATTTGGTGACAATTCCAAGATATCTGATAAAGTAAACATATTGATTTAATATTGCTAAAAAGGAGTTGGTATTTGTTACAAAAAGGTAAGGCTGAAAGACCTCTTCATTTTTAAGTTAGTCAAAAAAACAATTACAACTGAGCAGAAATGAAAACATTTGTATGCACCTTTAACAATGGTCTTACATTCTACTGAAATATAAACTTCTATTTTCCCATTTGGCACAGATTTAATTTGTACTGGCAGATTGAAATTCTTTCAACTTTTAATACTGAACAGTAAAGTTAAATTATTTTGATTATTCTAAGCAAAACAGGCCAATGGACCTAATGTTATTTTTACTTAGATCAACCACCCATAATGAATCAAGGATTTAGTGATGCATCTTATTTTTAGAGCCCAGTATCCTTATATGACATTTTTTTATTTGTTTTATACTCTTCTTTCTCCATTTGCACTTCTAGGTTCTGGTGTCTTTTCTGAAAACTCTCATTTTCTTAAAACTAATCTCCCTTTCAGATACAACTCTACCATTTGAAAAGAAACCTTTGTGCTTTAACTTATAGACATTGTAACTGTTTTAGTATGATCAGTTTAAGAATTACTAAATTGAGAGATAATTGCATCAAAAATTGGAGAATGACCACCCTAGAAATTATCTCCAAATGAAACACATTTTTACTTTGTCATCAAGCCTTCTTTTAAATAAGTAGCATATGAGGCAGAGGGATTATACCTATTTTTAAATGTATATATATATATTTTTTTCTTAGTATGCTTGGAAAAAATATCCTCCAAAAAGAAGCAGAAATCAAATCTCAGTATCTTTTTCTTTTAAACCACAGAATTGTGAAATCATGGTACTTTTTTACTTTTGTGAAATCAAAGTAGTCTTTTCTTCTTCTCGTATACACCATTAATTAGTTACTTCAAGTGCATATGAACACTACAGCACTTATTTTTGGATCAGTTCACATTTTGTCTCAAGAAAAAATATGAACTGATCCCAAACGTATTAAAGTACATCTGTGCATTAAATCCCTGTGCATTTTGCAATTAAGAGGAAAATACCAAAGTCAAACGTTCTAGCTCTCAATGTAAACATTTTAAACTATTATTTATTAATTTCCCTTAAAGGTACTTAGGAGTGTGTGTGTCACAGATTCAAAGTTAACCTCAGGAATAGCACCATGGCACCAGCACCACCCCCCACCAAAAAAACCCCCCAAAACATAGGAATGATTCTCGCCATAATCCCTCAGTTTTACTTAAGTACTTGAGAATTTTCTATTGACAACCATACTTTAAAATGTCACTAAGTCCAATTCTAGTGTTTTCTTGTTATCCAAATACTGCTTTGAAACACAAGAGTCCAGCCACTTGGGACAATATTAGTTACTGGTTGACCATCAATAACCAGTTAATTGAGTCCAAAGGATGAGAACAGTATGATAAATTCTAAGCTGTCAGAGAATCTTTTCTCAAAGAGGCTATATGTATTTACTAATGTATCTCTAACTTGTTTATGGATTTTTGGTACCTTTTTGCAGAAGATGGTAAACATGGAGTTATAACCCTGAGAATAGATATAAAAGAGAAGCTTAAAAAGAGTTTAAATAAATTAATGCAATTGGCATCTACCACCAGTTCTAAAAATCAGGCAAGAAAGGGGGATTCCATGAACTTTCTCAGGTCAATTACCATGAATAAATCTGTATACTATATATTTAACTTTGAAAAGAGCATCAGAATTGTGAGTGATGGCAGCCATCTACACAACAAAATAAGAGGTAGATACCCCACCTATCTGAGTTGTACTGTTCTAAAATACCCTTGCTCTTACATTGCAATTGAAAGGTACCTTCTACCATGTCAAATGGAATCAGTAACTAAAAAGTAAGAACACTTAAGAACATTCATTCTCTGATTACACCAGAGCCTAATTATTTGCCAAATCTGCCACCTTAAGGATGCACAGAAGGGAAAGAGGTTAATTTTGTTTGGCACCAACACAAGTAGGGCCACAAAGTAATCTAAGGTGGTGGTGCTCTATGTAATACACCCCTCAACTACTGAGCATGTAAACCATATTTTAATCAAGTCCATCTCCAGGCACGAATAAGCTTGAAATAGCCACCTCCACTGTCTGGAGTAGCCTCACCTATCAAGTAGAAAATATTTGGCTGGAAAATAAGTGTACTATGGTATTTGATATGATAATTGTTTTTCTTTTTAAATGTACTCCAAAATTATTTTTCCACCAAATGTGACAGTTTCTAGACTTAGACTAGAAATCACGAATAATGATACTTAGTTGTCCTCAAGGGGGGGAAAATATTATGAATCACTTGGCAGCAATAAACTAAAATAAGAGGTGGAAAAATGGCATTTAACTACTTCCCTATGTTGTTGAGATTTGCAATTGCACTTTTAACAAAAGACTGTAAAATTTCAATGCAGAGAAATCTACATGTAACTTAAATACCTTTCTAGCCCTGTACATACTACTTTAAAAAAAAAGAAAAGCACACACACATCCTAAGTCTAAGGCACACAAACTCCGCTATTTCACAGAATAAGACTATTGGAAGAGCAACATTTTGGTTAAATCCTTTAAATTGAAACCTGGAGATCTTCAATAAAGATAAATTAGATAGCATTTTGTTAGTGCACAATTAAAAGGAAAACACTACAACTATGCTCTGGCCTTAGAGGTTTTAAAATTACGCTCAAACATTTAAAAAAAAATTTACCAGCACTTTATAAATTCAAGTTTATCAAATAAAAGTGATCATGTTTTCCTTAAGAAGGAAAAGGTAGACTCAATAGCACTTGCAAAAAATACTGAAAGCCATTTCAATTAAAATAACCAGATCTGATATAATGTATACTATGAAAGTAGCCAGAGAAGGAAAGTTTTACTGGGGGTAGTGGTGGTAGGGGGAAGTGGTAGGTACCTTGCCTACTAATCATGGCTATACCTCCCATGATTATAATGTCAGTATGTACATAATATTTATGGGGGGAAAAACCAACAACCTGTAAACAGAGGTCATATGAAATCATTACACTACTAAGGATAAGGGATTAGAAACTACCACTCCTTGACAAATTAAAAAAATATTAATTATTGCAGGACACTTGCTACCATGAAAGTAATGCTCAATGGTTTTGATAACCAGGATGTCTAGTGTTTAACAGATTTCAAAATCTTGCTATATGTAGTCAAATACTGTCAATAGATCTGCCCCCAAAATGAAGCATATTTTGGCACCTGTGCTGAATGCTGCTACAAAAGCAAGTGCAAATAAAAAATAACAGTCATGATTAAGTCACATTCATAACTTTTCATAGAAAAATATAAATATATTCCCTGAATTGTAGGACAAAAAATAATTTCAACAGCCAGCTTTCACCATAAATCCCAGTACATTTTCTCTGTAAATGAACTGGTTTTCCCTCAAGGTCATAAGGTGCAGTCATCGAACATATTTTCTAAACCTCTATCATCATCCCCATCATGGTATCTCACAGTCCTTCTACCCTGATTTCTCGTTTTTATTTTTGAACGTCGAAGAACTCGCTTAGATTTTGCATAGTCCAAATCCTCCCAGTCATTGTCATCCACATTTAACTTAGATCGTCGTTTGCTTTGTCTCTGATGTCTCACAGTTTTAGATAAGGTAGCTGTAAAAGTTTTACCTTTTCTAAGTACTTTTGCTTTTCCTTTTGTTTTTCTCTTTTTGGTTTTTTTATTATTACTAGAATCAGTATCTGATTCAGATGCAGATCCCAAATCTGAATCAGACTTGGGACTGGTATCAGGTCTAAAGTTTGAGCTTCCTGTTGTTTCTGAAATGTCAACATTTTCCTGCTCAGGGTGCCGTCTCTTCCTTTTATTTTCCATCTCTCCTGCTTGCTGAGACTCAGGAATCACTTTTGTCTTGCTAAAAGGAGCCTTCCCATAGGTCCTGAGTCTTCTGCCATTCCACCTCCGCAAGCCATAATTTGGTTCTTCTTCAAAGTTACTCTCTGCAGGTGCTTTTGGCGTCAAAGTTGAAGCAGCAGAACGTTTTCGCCCAATCTTATTCTGTGGAATATGGCTTTTTGAACATTCTTCTGAAGACTTAGTTACAGAATGTTTTGTTTTAGAAGGTGCAGCATTTGTTTTGTGACTATTGATATGCTTGGTCTTCCATTCTGAATTCAAATTACTTTCCGAGTCCGAGTCTCCATTAAAAGATTGACTAACACTTTTTGTACTACCTTCCGAATCAGCTTCTGGTAGCTTACCATCACAGGAATACTGTTCATTTGGCACTTCACAGTTTACATTCCCCTCAGAATTACTCATCTTCTTAGTTGTGGCACAGGTTGAATAGGGGGGCTTTTTCCTTCCGTTTTTGCTTCTAGTACATGTGCTTTTTAAACTAACATCTTCAGCACTCATTACCTTGACCTTATTGGAGGCTGAAGTTGTACATCTTCGAGGAAATCTTGGAAAGCCTGTTTTGAATTGTAATGATCTCTTAATCACCTTTGAGTTATTTTCCAAATCACTGGAACAGACCCTTTTCCTGGAAGCTTTCTGGCTGTGCTCATTGTCTTGTGATGTAGAATCTAAAAATTAAGAATATTCTTTTAGTCTTTAATAAAAGTAACAAATAAAAAAAATTAAATTATATCTAATGATGTTTAAATGGCTATTAACCCCCCCTTGCAAAGTCTGACAGGTTCAATATGAGACAATTAACATAAGTCCAAAATTCTGGTTATTTTGGGAGGGATGGTTGCTAAATGACAGAAGGAACTCTTAATATTTCATAAAAATAAATTTTAAAATTTAAAAACTCACTACTATTAAGTCAAAGCCGTTAACATGACAGTAAGCCACTTAACCCTATAGGGCACCACAGAACTGCCTGTCAGTTTCCAAGACTATAACTGTTTACAGGAGTACAAAGTTCTTTCTCCCGAGGAGCTACTGGTGGTTTTAAACAGCTTTCCTTGAGGATTGCAGGCCAACTCCTAACCACTATGTCACCAGGGCTCCTAATACTTCATAGCAATAATGTTTTAAGCCTCAGCACACTTTACAAGTTCAATATAATCCCATTAGGATTATTTTATGCCCATTCTATGTAATATTTTACATAAAGCACATAACGCTAAAATACTATTCTATCAACATGAACACAGACTAAACTGTTTACCACTACACTAGGCCATGTCAACTTACCACTTTCAGCTTCCCTTTTTCCTAATTCTACATACTTTTGATCTTAGCTTTACTTGCTCATCAATATTTTTTAGCATTCCCTGTTTACCTGAGAGATGATCCTAATTCAAAAAGCTGATGTCATTTTTGTGTTTCAGAGTTATGTTTTTAAAAAATAGTCACTGATGAAGAAATACCTCAGAAAAGCTAAGGAAACTAAACGGGTTAATTTAAAGTAATTCACAGGAATAGCTCAGCACTGTTCTATTAGCTGCATTTATTATTATTATTATTATTATTATTATTATTACTTGCCACATTTCTTTCAATCAGTCCTACCTTTTCTTTCAACTTCTAAAACTGTTAAAACCATGGTTTACAGACGAACCACTGCTTCTTCCATCATCAATAAAAGATATTAAAATTTTAATGAAAAGAACTTATAGCCAAGATTGCTGTGAAGTAAACAAACAATATGTATACTCAACATACACATATATATACCCATATCAACATCAGATGCATGGAAGTCTAATAGAGAGTACAAAAGTGGGAAAGAAAAGCACCTACCAGAGTATTTGGGGTGGGGGAGGAGTCTTATGCACGAGTTATAGGGAAGTAGAAACAGGATCAGTATACCAAATGTAAATATTTGTAATTACCTTGTCGAAAATTGTCAGAGTTTTCTTTTCTTTTGTCATCATCTGAATCCACATCTGTTTCAGATACATGCTCCAAGGAACACTGGGCCCCAGCAACAGACTCACACTTCAAATTCCCTGGAATTAAATTTGTTTTCACTTTGTGACTTCTTCCACCTTCTCTATCATCATCCTCAGATTCAAAGTCCTCTGAATCACTCAGGATTTTTGCTTTTTTAAAGCAAGTAGCATCCTTGTGACGTGTATTGTATTTCCTACCCTCACATTTCCCTGAGTCAAAATCTGCTTCCTCATCTTGCTCTGAGATGTCCGATGCTTTTAGTTTTTGCCCAGATGTTGATGGGCGAGCAGTTCTTTTATGGACGTTATCTGAATCATGGCTTTTAGAATCTTCCTCAGAAGACTCTATTTTAAGAAATGTTGTTTTAGAAGTTGCCAGAGTATGAGACTTGTAACCATTAGCATGCCAATTTTTTCGGGCTACTCTTAAATCACTTTCTGACTCTGAATCTCCATTTTCAGATTCCCGAACTGTTTTCCGGGCAACATGAAAAGTGGACACTGGTAATGGTTTTTGTTGAGTTTTTACTTCTTCTTCAATATCTGATTTTAAGCTCTGATCATCTTCAGAATTATGTAATAGCTTTTTTTTAGCTGCAGCAGAAGCATCACGGTGAGGCAGCTTGCGCCCAGAGCAGACACTTTCAGAGCTGGAATTCTCTTCGACATCACTCATTAGCTTTATCTTACTGGCAGCCACAGCAGCACACTTTCTTAGGACTTTACGGTGATTTCCAGTTCTAGATTTTATAATTTCAGAAGTCTGCACTGGATTATTATCAGAGTCACTCAAATAGATTCTCTTTCGAGTGGCTTTTCTACCACATCCATTTTCTAAAGAGATGGGACCTAGAAGTAATGAAAGAATACAAATAAAAAAGTTTCCCATAGTTCAACATTTTTAATACCCTTAAATTTAGCCAATACTCATTTTTCAATATCAAAATCAATTTTCTTTGAACCTAAAAAACAATGAATAATTAATTGTACATTAGTTGCATTACAGCTATTTAATACTTAAATTTATATTATCTTGATATAAATTCCTCCAAAGTTTGAGAAGTCTCTTACCAGTTTTCCTTTGTGCAGCTCGAGTTCTGGTCAACCTGAGATTGCTGCCCCTGGATAACCCCCTATGTAAAGAGGATTCATGAGATCTTGTGCTGTCTTTACTTTCCTCTGAACTATCTGAAGTTGAAGATGACAAAGAGGTAGCTGAAGATTCTTCCATTTCACTTTCTAAAAAAAAGAAAACATTAGTACTTTGAATTACAGATATTATCACACTTTGAGCATCTAAGCCGTTATTTCCCTAACCATATACTAAAAATGATGACAAAGAGGAGGCTGTCTACTCTGATAAAGACAGTCTCAGAAACCCACAGGTACAGTTCTACTGTCCATAGGATTGCTGAGTTGTAATCAATCGGATCGCAGTAAGCAGTGGTTGTACACTAAAAACACTGCTGTCAAGTTGATTCCAACTCACAGTGACTCTATATAGGGTTTCCACACTATTTTCCCATGAGCAACTTGTGAGTTGGAACCACCAACTTTACAGTTTGTAGTTCAAAAATTATCTCACAACACCAGAGTTCCTCACACTGAAAATAGTGTTCAAATACACAGAGTACCCTTTAACAACCAATCCAAAGAGTAGGTGATATATTTTGGCACCATATGGTAAATAATATGAGATACTTAAAAAAAAGAAAGAACAAAGTTCCATTATAAAAATAAATCTAAAAATTAGCTCCACTAACAGTTAAGAGTGTTGAGTTTTAGGTTTATGTCAGATAAGTCAGAATCAACTAGATGGCAGGGAGTTTTGGTTTTGGTATGTCAAACAGACATTTTCAATAGAAAACACACTTACTATAAACAGAATTTCAGTAAAAATATTTCTAGGTTTTTCTCCAGTAGCCCATTTTAACCGCCTCATGTTCAAGAAAGGTCATTCTATGTGTACTCTACACACACACACACACACACACACTCCAAAAAACGGAGATAAATAATACAGATACCATTGTTCCTATATCCCATTTAATGAGTGCACATACACCAGTATGAGCATGAGAGCCACACACTTCTTGTTCCTGAATTAGTGGAAATGTATAGGTCAGACACCATTTTCCTCCATAAAGCTTAACTCTTGTGTTAAAGATGTGGCTTTGTAGGAAGATTCTGAGACAGCAAGATTTCTCCAGACTCTAACCCTTCCCTACATTACTGTCAAACTAGTTTGTCTTCCAGAAACATGATCATCATGACTCCCTTTTTCAACTATTTAAGGAGCTCAAATTCCTCTGCAAAGTTTTCCAGACCAAAATGTGGCTCCACTGTTTCTACTCAACTCTTTATATTATTCCCCCCAACTCAATAGTTACTCTAGGCAATCTTTTCAAATGCACACAATTGTGGGGGGAGGTCAGATGCTAGCAGGCATCCTCCATGAGATCAGTTGCCAGATTGCAGTGGGCCCTGCTCCCTGCTGTTAAAGACAATGGACAGGCTCCTGTAGGTGGAGTTCACACCCCACCTATAATGGTCAGTTGAGCCTGGGAGCAAGTCAAACAGGCTCTATGACATCTAAAGTTAGGCTGCTGTCCTGTATCTAGGATCCGCCCATCTTGCCACATGTATACCCCCAATCCCTCCTCTTCCTATTGCATGTCCCTAGACCACCCTCTCACTGTTGTATAACCTATAGTGCAATCACTTCCTGTGACATATGACTTTACCTGTAATTAGTGGGCTTGTACGCCCCCAAAAGGTATATAGGCCTGGTTAGTGATAGAGGTCCCTCTGGCTGGTCTCTCCCCTTCTCTCCCCTCTCTTCCCCTTCTGCTCTCCAATCCTCTTTCCCTTGTTCCCTTTCCCCCTCTCCCTGTGGACCACCCAAGTGGGGCTGAGGTGAGCAATGCTACCATGTAATGTGTCTGACTGCATTATTGTAATATCTCTTCTATCGCTCATGCTCTAGGTGACTTTAAATATAATACTTATGTATCTCAACCGTATAATTGTGCTTACTAAAACCGTAGGTAGTGGTGGGGAGCTGGCCCCCCCAACCTTATACTACACACAATATATCCTTTCCTTCACTTCTTTTTCTCATATGGATACCTTGCTTACAAAAATGTCCTCTTATCTTTATTCAAGTTTGATCCATGCTAATTCCCATTTCAATTATTTCACAGGTTATTTTCATTGCATATAGTATCAAGATATGGGTAGTTGCCTTTTATGCTGTAAATGCACTCTTTTAAGATGTCGATACAGGGGATTATGGGAGAAGTGATCACAATGATTGACACATAACCACATACACACACCCCTCCAGGGGGGACGAACAACAGAAACCATGGGGGAAGGGAGACAACAGTTGGTGTTAACATATAAAAATAATAATTTATCAAGGGGTCACAAGGGTGGGGGTGAGGAGGAAGGGAAAAAAGAGGAACTGATACCCTCAATAGAAAGAAAATATCTAGAAAAGAAAGATGCCAACATGTGTACAACTATACTTGATATAAGTGATGTGTGTATTGTTATAAGAGTTGTAAGAGCCCCCAATTAAGTGATCTTTTAATTGGAAAAAAAAAAGATGTCACTATAATTCAACCTTTGCACATGTCTGCATGGTGTTTAGCAAGTCTCCACAGCATTTCTAACTTTTGTTCAAAAGTAACAATACCACTTAATGAACTGCTAACTTTTGTTCAAAAGTAACAATACCACTTAATGAAATATTAAGATAATTTAAGACATAATAAAAAGCATTCAATTTTAACAGCAAACAGCATGTAACATCATCTAAATTATCAAAATCACCCATATATACTCGAGTATATGAGCCGACTATTATCAAACAAGGCACCTAATTTTACCACAAAAACGGCATTACAAATGTGCTGAAACACCGGCCTGTGTGATCACGAGGTGTCGAAGGGATCAGTTATCTGCCGTCAAAGAACAAAAAATCATATCATTGTGCGCTCACCTCCATGATAGGATCGCTGAAGACAAATGGGTGCATAAGCAAATGTGACGAAGAAAGCTGATCGTGCCCCACTATCAAAAAGTATAGCATCTGGGGTCTTAAAGGCTTGAAGGTAAACAAGCGGCCATCTAGCTCAGAAGCAACAAAACCCACATGGAAGAAGCA